TGCTCCCTGCACATTCAAGTGATCCAAGGGTCAGCAACACATCCTCCTCCCTATAGAACTTAGCAAGTGTTAGTGCCTAGCAGCTCCATCTTCTGCCTGTTATTCTAAAGGTGGAGCCTGCAGCATTATCTCCAGCAAGAAGACAGGCTTGTAGCCATTTGTAACAGGCATGAAAACAGACATGGAGCAGGCCGTGCAGGTATACGATGATTCCTTCCAGTCCTTTCCTCCTAAATCTAGAAAGGACTTGATGGATCTTTATAACTCCCCTCAGAAACTGGCAGCAGGCGAGGGGGGCAAAGGGAAGAGAAAAAAGTACAGAATCCCACTTGAGGTTCTGTCGACTTTAGAGGTTGCTTTATTTGAATTCCCTATAAACTTAGAGTTTGATTATAGTATGTAAATCAACTTAGGTTATTTCACGTTAGACTTTCCAAAGCTGAAAATGGTCTTAATCTTCATCTCAGTTATATACTACTACCAAGTTCCAGCCATGAGCCCAAAGCATCTTCTGCTCCCTAAATTGTGGGTTTATATTTTTAGTTGGTTTCAGGTTGTAACCATAAACTTATTACTAACTTCCAATCAACATCATCCCTATGTGTCTAAGTTAAACTCTTTTTTTTTTTTTTAAGTAAACTCTAAGCCCATTTTTTTTAAGTAAGCTCTATGGGCTCAAACTCATGACCCTGAGATCAAGAATCACATGCTCTTCCCACTGAGCCAGCCAGGTGCCTCTAAGTTAAACACACTTTTGAAGTTATTTCAGAAGATACAACTAACTATGGAGCGCCTGGGCGTCTCAGTCAGTTAAGCGTCCAACTCTTGATTTCAACTGAGGTTTTGATCTCAGGGTTGTGAGGAATGGGACATTCTACCTAGAAGTATTCAAAAGGTACCCCCAATACGGCCCAAAGAGTTTCTGTGGTATACAACAAAAAGGAAAAGTTAATCACATCAACAGGAAAAAAAAATACTAAGGATAAGTATTATCAGGCAGTTTGTACAAGGAGAAATTAATTGATATGAAAATGAAAAAGGGAATCCTAATAGAAGAACGCAAAAAAACATGTCAATTTTTTTTTAAAAGTGAACTTTCCTTTTTCACTCATCACATTATCACATCACAACATTTAAAAATGAACGATACCCCTGCTAGCAAGGGGGCACGAAAATGAGCTAGCACTGCAAGCATTAAGCTAAACTGGTTCAGGTTTTCTGGAGAGCATTTGGCCACTGGTAACAAAAATCCCCAAAAGTACATGGTTAGGAACCAGGGCTCCAGGGCCAGCCGGCCCCGGGCAGATCCCGGTTGTACTACTTGCTGGCGCCAGGACTTGAAGCAAGTTTCTATTGAGAACTGCTCTACGTCTCAGTGACTAGTCGTACAACGACTGTAATAGTTGCACTTTTCACTGCTGTGAGGCTCAACCAGTGAATATTCATGAGCACCTTGGACCAGTGCCTGGCACATAACATGGCTTTCATTATTATGTTGGTTCAGCAACCTCACTTCTAAGTATTTATCCTAAGGAAATCTTAATTAAGTGCACAAAGATGTATTTATGCATTTGTTTATCACTTCATGATTTAGCAAAGGCCAAAAGTGGAAATGGCTGGTTAAATAAATTTTTGCGATCTTTACCTTATAATACTACGGGCCCATTAAATATAATTATGTTGATACATATGTACTGATGTGAGCACATTTATATTCTGTTTTCGAGAAGACAAATCAAGCTACAGAAGAATAAATATAGTGGAACCCTAGGAAGGAGACATATGTGTTTTTTTTAATCAGAGCATGTATAGCTAGATATTAATGGTGGTTGCCTCTGGATTTGGGAGTTACTCAAATTTATATTTCTTTTTTGGTTATATGTGTCTTCCAATTTTTCTACATCAATCTCATTGTTTGTATAATTTTTAAATAATTTAATATGTTACATATTGTGATGGTTAATCTCAGTCAATTTGAGCTAAGGGATGCTCAAATAGCTGGTAAAACATTCTTTGTAGATGTGTCTCTCAGGATGTCTCTGGAAGAGATGAGCGTTTGAATCAGTAGACTGAGTGAAGAAGATCCATCCTCCCCAATGTGGGTGGGCATCATCCAATCCATCGGGGACCAGAATAGAACCAAAAGGCAGAAGAAGGATGAGTTCGCTCTCTCTCCTTGAGCTGAGACATTTATCTTCTCCTGCCCTCGGACATCGGAGCTTCTGGTTTGGGGAGACTTTGGACACCAGGAGATTTCCTTGTTCTCCAGCCTATAGATGGCAGATCCCGGGACTTCTCTGCCTCCATAACCGTATCAGCTAATTCCTACCATAAATCCCCTCTTAACCCCATACCTAATATCCTACTGCTTCTGTTTCTCTGGAGAACACTGATTGATACACATATGTTCCAAAGTTCTTATAAATTTTACCAAACATTCTAAAATGTATTTGAAAGTGGGGAGGGATAAGCAGCATAGAAATATAAAACTAATGTTAGTCTCCAAAGTAGATAGAAAAACACATTCAGAAACATGTAACTTCATAGTGAACATTCAGGTACAGAGTCATTCTCATTGGTAATTATCACGTGTGTGTGTGTGTGTGTGTGCACATACAAACACATGTGCACACACATCTATTTCATTTGGGTTCCCCCGAGAGCAAAGCCTGAGGCAAGGATTTGGAAACAGGTTCATTTATTTCAGAGTTGCTCCCAAGAAGCGGAAGTGAGGGTGAAAAAAATGAAACAGCGGGGAGAAAAGCCAATAAAAGGCGCACTAATAGGGAGTAACTGCGTCAAGCAACTGGGATTCACTCCCACTGGGGACTCTCTGAGAAACTGTGGGATAAACCTCAGAACTGTCCCACCAATGCACAGGCAGGCTGGAGCAATTGCTCAACAACTCCCCTCCTACCTGGGTTGCGGGCTGCCCTGGTAGCCTCAGCTCCCCCACACCTCGGGGTTGTACCTGCAAATAGACTGTGCAGCCTCTCACAGCATCAGAGACAACCCTGGGGCCAAAAAGCAGAGACCCCAGGGTGCACGTGTGATGTGGGGGGACTGGCATCCAACATGTGCTCAGGGCTGCAGGAGACCCGGATGGGGTGGGGGGGAGACCCGGATGGGGTGGGGGGGAGACCCACATGTGGTGCCACAGTCTTTTATAGCTCCCTTGCCCAAACCCAGCAAATAGGAAACCAGGACTTTGTTGGGAGAATCCTGGGAGGGGGATGAACCCACCACACTTCCCACTCACTGCTCCTTCCCCTTCTCACACACTCACCGGGATCATCAATGCACAGGTCCTCAGCTGTTCAAAGGTGTGAGAAACACAAAGGGAATTTACCCCCCAGCCAGCCAGGGCTGCACCAGCCCCAAGTCCCACATCATGCCCTTCATAAGCTGTGCTCTGGCCTCACTGAACAGCCTGGTACCACGGTCCCCCAAGCCTCTGCCCCCCCTCGGCCCACCCCCAGATACCCTTTGCCCTCTGAAGTGCCTTTCCTCCCTTGCTTCCCCTGGTTCCTCCCACCAGAACTTCTGAGCCTGGCAAGGTGTCAGGACCCAGAGGTCAAAAGAAGCCTGGATGGAGGGCTGGGGAAGGTAAGAGACCCCAGGTGGGGGGAGAGAGATGGAGCAAGACGGGGGGTTAGCTGAGCTCCTGATGGCTGAGGCTGGGTGTTGGGGACGTGCACTTATCACACTATTCCTGAAACCTGTGACCAGAGGGGACCCATCGCAGCAGCAGACTAGTAAGTACAGTGGCAACTTCTTACCTGCCCTCTTTCAGTTTGCCTTTACATTTCCCTGACCCTCCTCCTGCGAAGAGGGCTTTGAGGCTTGCCCTCCTGTCTCCCTGGTTAAGCCCTGTCCTTGCTGCATCCTCGAAGTCTCAGTCATTGTCTTTGCTGCACAACGAACGGGGCAGATGGACCTGGGTTCCTCTATGTGTGAAGCTTGAAGGCACAAGCCTGGGCCTCCTTTCAGGCAAGAAACTGCTGTTCAACTCTGATGAATGAAGTAGGCTGACCGGGTGGGGGCACCACAGCCAGGCCCTTTCTCCCCAGTGGGGGGACTCTGCGCTCCACAGCCCCCACTGGGCTGACAGAGATGTCAGCCCTGCCAGGCACTGCATCCCAGTGGACCTCACCTGACACAACAGAGGTGCACTCACTTCACCCCACCGTGCCCCTGCTGACGCTCCAAAAATAATGAATACACACGAGTTATAACCATTGTGCTATATATAAATATTCACATATAATAAATTAAGCTTTTCACATTAAAAAAAATACAGTGGTTGCATATATAACCTAATTTTGGAGATAATATCAAAAATTAAATTTGTGGTCCTTTGAGCACGAGGCCCCAGCCAGGTGGCTCTCCTTCCCTCCTGCCCCTGAGCAAGTACAACCAGACATCAGCTCTGAGACTCTCTCCAGGATCACCCCTGACTACACTGGGTGGCCCATGCTATGCTCCCATAGCACCCTAATCTCTGTCACTAGATTACTACCCTGTACTTCCGCCCCCGTCACCTCTGCCAGCACCCCAATGTGGCAGGGAGAGGCGGACCTGGCAGAGAACAAGCACTCAGTAAATGACTTTGGAGAATCACTGAATGACTGACTGAGGCATGTGTCCCCAAAAAGACACCATGCAAGGTAAAGACTCGTCTACACACTGTTCCCACAGATTTACAAAATGCCAGTGAATAAAGATCAAGGGGTTCCTTCAGGCTGGAGTGAACATGGAGGTGGGAAAGGAAACTGCTCATTATAACCCTTTCTCAAGCCATGGGACCCAGGAGCACCCAGCCAGGCACCCCCGGCGCTCTGGAAGCAGGATCCCTCACAGGCGGAAGAAATTATATCCACCTTCTGCTGTGCTTCTCTGCAAAGGAGAAGATCTCTTGGTTACTGACGAAGACAAGAGGCCCAGCAGCCTCATCTGTTCGGGGAGTCCTGAGCTGGCCTCAGCCGGGCTCCGGGGCAAGATCACCAACCAGGGACCCTGGATCGGCCAGGGCTCCATGGACTGGCGCCAAACTTCTCCGGCGGCTTTGAGCGAGACAGAGGCTTTGGTTTTTCTCTCTGGCCCAGGTCCTGGGGGAGATCTTCCAAGGAAGAGATCTCCAAGTCACTCTCATCATCAGAAAGCTGCAGGGAGGGAAGGGGGAGAAGAAGATACATTCTGACAAGATGTGGATCAGGGAGGATGAAAATGCAGGACAAACAGGGGGACGAAACGCAGGTTTGGAAGAAGCTGGAGGGACACACTCCTTCTCCTGTTTTTTCCCATTTCCCTGTCTTTGAAGACCTGATTCAGAGACCCGGGGTCAGAGTGATTTTAAATGCTCCTGAAATCCCACAGGCCAAACCCAGGCAAGCTCTTTGAAAAGGCTTATGGCAAATCAGGTTGCTCTTGTAATTTAAACTTCGTCCAGATTTTTTATTTCCCCACATTGATGGATCTGGAGTCAGCCGTTAGGAACTGGAGTCAAAGGCCAGAGCGTTGACTTTTCTGCATTCCTGAACTGAATGCAGCCCGGGCTAACGTGCACCCCCACCCGCAGACAGCTTCTCCGGGGCCTGGTAAACACCCTGACTCGAGGAGTGGTAGAGGAGCTCCAGAGCACCAGGGACTCTCAGCCTGGAAAGTGGCTGGGCTGCAGCCAATGGGAGAGCCCAGAGCCAAGGGCCCAGGCAACCCCTACACCACAGTCCCCACTCCAGAGCTCTGTGCCCTCCTGGCACTGAGGGCCACCGGGGCTTTGATAGGAACATCCTATACATTTTCTCCCAGAGTGTAAGGCCAAGCAGCCAGAACCACCCCAAGGCCCAGGGCAGCAGGCTCTGAGCAGTGCCTCAACCTGCTCTGGGATATTGGCGTGCTTTCCCAATATAGGAGAAGGGACAAACACTTTTTTAATCATTTGGATTCACTACTCACAAACACACACAGGCTACATAAGAAACCGAACACATTATGTAATAAGAGTATGTTCTCGTAAGAACCAAAAAGTGCCCACTATTCCTGGTGATCCCAGGAGGCGCCTCTTCACCTGAGAAAGGTGAGACATGAATGTGAAGTAACGAGAGCTCCAAACGTTTCTGCCTAAGCAAGTAAGGGGCATGCGGGAGTTGTTCCCTGACCGGAGGCAGTGAGGAGGGGGTCCTACTGGTAATGGTCGCTGAGGCTGAGTATCTGAGCTCTAAGTCTGATGGCAGCTAGAGCCTCAGAGAGGCAAGGCCACCAAGACATTCTTAGTGATGAGGAATGCCCTGAATATTTAGAACAAAGGTATCTAAATATTCCCATTATATGCTGTCGCCTCGTCTGATGTGCTGTGGGATGCCACTCCAACACCCCACCCTCAGGGAGAAGTCTTCTCTGCACACAGCCTGGAGCTGGGGTCTGGAGCTGAGTGAAGGAAGGGGACGGGGCCCATGGTGGGATGAAGCAGAGCCAGAAGAGAGTAGCTACTGCAAGCAGCCAGCCACAGAACCAGGTCCAGGCTCCGTCAGAGGCGGGAAATGGGAGCGTGAGTGACCAGGAGAAAACGACCTATTAAGCAGCTGCTTGTATAATGAACCAAAAGGCTTTTTAACATCAACAAGGATACAAACAAGAAGTGGCCATCCCTCCCCCTGTGCAGGGGCAGAAGAGACAGTGAGGTCACCCACAGTGTCCCACTAGGGCCAAGGCTGACACTCACTAGACCCCACCCCAGGGCCCCAACACCTGGAGTTGGCTCTACTGGAAATAGAGCAAACTCCAAGAGTCCTACACCCTACCTGAGGCTTCTTTCCTGGCACGGCAGCCCTCTGGCGCCCAGCGTCGGGCATTAAGAACAGACTGACCCCTCCAGCAGGCTTCTTCACTGGAGTCTCTAGCTGCTTCTCAAGGTTTTTGACCAGTGACTGCACCAGTGTTCCTGGAAGGCAACCAGAGGGAAAATTCCAGAGAATGAATGCCTCATCCTTGGAGGTCATGACCAGGCTCTGGTGTGGATAGAGGGAGTGTGGAGAAGGGTCACGAGGAAGAAGGAAGGGCAGCCACAAAGAAGAGGAGCAAGGATAGAGAGAAGGCCCTGGCCAACGTGTGCCGGTGAAAAGAGCCTTCGACCATCCTAAAAAATATAACTTCACTTAATGACGTGGCTACGGACAGAGGCTTAGGAAGCTGTTCTTCCCCCTTAATGGTAGGCAGAGGCAGAACCTCTGCTCAGTTGGTATACGAAAAGCAAGACTAACATGCAAACACGGCCTCCTTCAACATCTTCACTGAGAAGAAATATCATAAATATAAATTATCACAGAGGGACCGAGGGCCAGACAGGCTCCTGGTGACATGCTAAACCACGGTGGATGTCCAGGCCTCAGCAACGGCCAGGAAGCAGAGAGCTAACCACCGCCTCTTAGGATTTAAATGTCTGAGGGCCTGAACAGATGTCTGGGGTTACAACAGCCCTTGGTTCATTGATTCATTCAAGAATTGTTTGTCAAGGGGGGCGCCTGGGTGGCTCAGTTGGTTAAGCGACAGCCTTCGGCTCGGGTCATGATCCTGGAGTCCCGGGATCGAGTCCCACATCGGGCTCCCTGCTGAGCGGGGAGTCTGCTTCTCCCTCTGGCCCTCCCCGCCTCTCATGCTCTCTCTATCTCATTCTCTCTCTCAAATAAATAAATAAATAAAATATTAAAAAAAAAAAAAAAGAATTGTTTGTCAAGGGGCACCTGGGTGGCTCAGTCAGTTAAGCGTCCAACTCTTGATTTAGGCTCAGGTTGTGATCTCAGGATCATGAGATCAAGCCACTGAGTCAGGCTCCGTGCTCAGCACGGAGATTCTCTCTCTCCCTCTGCCCCTCCCCCTGTTCACATGGGTGCGCTCTCTCAAATAAGTAAGTAAATAAATAAAATCTTAAAAAAAAAAAAAGAATTGTTTGCTAAGGGTCACTATGTACCAGGCACCAGGTTCCTCACCCGTCATTGTCTTGTCCCAATACCTCATTTTACAGCGAAAGAACCGAAACCCCTCACTCAAGCACAAGCAGGTAGCAAGTGACAGAGCCCAAACTGTACCAGAGGACTCCTGACTCCTGCTTCCAACCCCTTTCTGCCCTACCGCCCCACCTGGCAGCTATCAGGACCTGGTTCTGGTGGATTCTGATGGACTGGCAGGCTTAGAAGGAGCGAGTGAGCTCCTCCAACCTCCAACAGTTAAGCAATTTGATGTGACAAACAAGGGGCAAAATAAACCTCCCTCAGATTCTTCCTTCCGATATCTCTGCGATCCCAGGAAAATATCCGATGGGAGGGAGGGTCATTCTCTCCGAGTCACAATGAGTTGCCAAATCAGAAAACCCAAAGAAAATCACAGGGTATTTCCAGAACTAGAGAAATCTGGGCTGGAGAAGGGCTGCCCCAGTGGTCCCAGATCACTCACCTGAGGAAGCCAGCCCACCTGAGCCCTTGTCAGGGGGCTGGGCACTCCCCTCTGAGCTCTCGGTGTCAGACCAGCCCCAGTCATCCTCTGGCCGGGGCCCCATCCTGGAAGGGCCTTTTGGGGGCTGGAGAGATGTCCGCTGCACCGAATGTCCCTCCTCCAAGTCCTCTTCGGAACTGAACGGGGGCGTACTGTCACGGAGGGGAAGAAATGAGGCCTCTATGGACCAGAAACACTTTAAGAGCCAAACTTCCCCACCTGCAAGCATGTTTGGTTTGCCCCAAGCCAGCCCTCCTCCTTCCCTGGGCCCAGGTGACAGCCAGGAGTCATCCTGGAGCATGGCAGCCACACCGGCAACTCTGTTAGAAGATGGGGACCAAACCCTTCCAGTGCAGCAACTAAGGCTTAAGGAAGAAATGGGGAAGGAAAGAGTAGGTTTGTCCTGGCTGGGAGCAAAGGACCCTGGTCTCTTCATGAGGGCTTGGGAGGGACCCCACCTGAGGTTGGCTTCTGTCTGTTGACTTCTGCCCCTGGCCCTCACCTGTCCGCAGAAGCCTGCGGGAGGCCCGGATGAGGGCTGCCTGAGGCTGGGAGCCACTGCCTCAGACCCAGGCCCTGGGTGGGAGTGCAGAGTCCGGGGCTCACCTCAGCCCAGGCCCTGGGGCAGCAGGGGTGCCGGAGGGTCCATGCGCTCTGGGACGTGGAGCAGGGGTGGGCATGTGAGCCAGGCCAGGGCCATGGCTGCCGCGGCTCTGAAGAGTCGTCGTGGGTGGCTCTGCTGGCTTGGATGGCAACGCCACATGCAGGGTCCTGGCCTTTGGCTGGGCCTCTTTGATGACCAGTGGGTTCTGCTGGCTTTTGACTAGAAACACAGACAGGAATAAGTTCCAGGGCACAACCATCTGGGCCCTCGAGCCTGAAGAAGACGTAGAGAGAGGTCCCGGCACACTAGAAATGGACAAGCCACTCTGTCACTCTATACGGTAATAGCCAGAGCCAATATTGTCCTTGCCCCCACCCCCAGGTGTCCTGCTGCTGGCCAGACCCGGGGCTGGGACCCCCCACAGTTCTACCAGAGACCAGGAGAGCCGCTGGGGTTCCAGGGTCATGTCATCGTCCCCGGAGTCCCACAGGAGTCGGCAGGTCTGAAGAGGGGCCCAGCTTGTCTGCAGCTTCACCCTCCCGGTGCAGTTTTAGGGCTGATCACACCAAGAGCACCTACCCTCTCTACCCACCCACGCTGCAGCTGCGGGAGTGCAGGCAACCTTGCAGGAAGACCCTCCTGCCACCAGAGGTCGCCACAGGACCACATGGGCCATCCTCATCCACCACTGTCCTCCCGAACTCTCCCCGGCAGGAGTGCTAAAGGCAAGCGGGCACACCCAGCGCCTCCCTCTTCCGATTGCAACAAGCCCCATTGGGGAGGGTAGGGGGGCAGGCCCAGGATCAACAATATTTTTATGGAAAGAGACGAGAAGTGCATTGCAGGGGATCAGAGTAAATACTGTTCCATGACACTCTCACATGTGTGGACTGTGTAAAATGTGTTTCTTACTGTAGTTCAAGATAGAAAATGTCTGAAATACACTGCTCTCAGAGAACGCTTTTACACAGAAGAGGATCTTCTAGGAAGGGCAGACTGAAGGGAAGGGGAAGGCAGACAAACTGGCTGAGGGAAAGTAACAACAGTAACTAGTTACTGCACACAGACAGCAAGCTAAGCCCTCTACATACAGGACCCACCGAACCCCGAGCCCTTAGGACAGTGTCGTTCTCCCTGCTTTACAGAGGCTGCGGGAGATCCAGGGACTCAATCAAGGCCCACAATTCCATGGAAGGAAGTGGTAAGTGCAAACCCAGGTCATCGGCCACCCCAAATCTAGGGCTCTTGCTTCTCATGGCCTTGCTTCATCCCACAGCTTTGCCCCCAAAAAAGGGGGCACAATGGAGACAGAGATCAGAGGTGGGCCTTCACACAGCACTCACAGGACCTAGAAAACGAGCATGTGGGCGTAGAACTGGAAAGAGAGGTCTACAAAGTGCTGTGAAAACAGTGCTCATCTCACACCTTCGAGACACGCCCTGGAGAAGGCAGGGCCCCAGGACCAGGGAAGGGGAGCTAGGCAAGGGGGTGGTTCTCACTCCCGGCTTTCTGACCACAGGAACAAGAGCTGGACAGGAGGGGGCACCTGGAGGAGCAACGTACCTTTCCTCTTTTGGAAGCCTGTCTTCAGAAGATGCGTTCGTTTCTCTTCCCTGCCTCCGTGTCCCCACTCTCCTCTGAGCCCACGCGCCCCCCTTCACCCCGCCCCTGTGCTTGGTCCCATCACACCTCCTAGTCCGGGCTGGCTTCCCAGATGAGGTGGCAAGCCTTGGCACAGATGAGTCTCAGTAGATTTTAAAATTACTGTTTCCTGTACCAACTAAAATCATCTCTCATACCCCCAGAGAATGTGGTCCACACTCTGGAAAATTCCTTAGCATGAAGAGTTCAGGTTGGGTCTGCCTGGACACGAGGAGATAAGAGAATCGATGTCCCTCTGGCCACATATGAGGGAAAGGAGCTGCAACATCGTCCCTCACGAACAGCTTCAGACCCCCGAAGCCCTCCCCAGAGCCCCTAATTTCAGCAGCCCAGTGGATATGGGAATCCTCCAGAAATGGGGGTGGCTCTCAAACCTAGGAACACAAATTCCCTTGTTTTCTCAGTTCCTTCAGGACAGAGACTGGAGGGGCCTCACCCACACACTTGAATCCTCCCCAAGAACCACTAGGCCTGTCCTTTTCACAACCCCCAGGGGCAAAGCAGGGGCTGTGACCTGGCCCAAGGAACCACGGTCCTACCTCTGAGGATGTGTCAGCAGGCAGAACTCGCCCAGCTTCTCACACCCTCCCACAGCTCCTGAGCAGAGTTTTCATTTGATTCATATTTGCCTCCACCTGCAGCCCCAATGCTCTTAGGCCTTGGGCCTTCTCCCTGCACTGACATGCTCCACTTCAGAGCCAGAAACAGAGTGGGCTACTCTCTGTTGGAGCAAAGTTCAATTTGTGGTCAAAGCAAGTAAAGCAGTGCAGAGCTAAGCTTCTGAGTGGGGCAGCAAACTCAAGGCTGATCACAGACCCTAACTCTAGCTCTCCTCCAACTTCCCTGGGTGACTCTGGGGCCCACCCCTAGATTCTGGTTCCCCCAACAGAGGACTTTTGGACTCAGTCATCTGTGAGGATGCTATCAACTCGCCCTTGAAAGTAATGTCCTGCTGGGGGCAGGCAGCACACCCTCCTCATGTGCAAACCGGCGGGGATCCTCCCAGTCACGGCCCCCAAGCAAGCCCTCTCACCAGCTCACCTGGAGCCTTGGTGTCTGGCTGGGACGCCGGGGCCCTGTTTCTCTGTCTCTCCTTCACTCTGCTGGTGGCTTCCTTGACAAGCTTTTCCCTCAGACTCAGAAATTCAGAAAACCTCCGTGCCTTCTGCTCCCGCTGGGTTCTCAGGAGGGACTCAAGGTGTCTGAGGGTTTGAAAGGGGATTCCCTTTGCATCCTAAAAAAAAAAAAAAAACAGAAGTTCCTCTTTGGAGACAGAAGCCCCCCTTCTCCTTCCCCTCAAGCCTGTCATACCTGCTACTGGCCTGGGAGTCACTGTGACCAGCGCCGGGTGCTCTCTGGGAGAGGATGCGGTGAGCGTCAGAGCAGGGTGGGCAGCAGCTGCACATGCTGCAGAAAGTGTGGTGCTTTAGGGTCTGGGAGCCTCGTCAAAACATGCACAGCAAGATGGTGCAAAGGGGCTGCGCGCGACTCCATCGACACCCCAGCTCACAGGGCTCAGAGGGGACTACCTTTCCACCACTGACTGCATCTGAGGACGGAGACCACGGCTTGCTCCTTTTTGTACCTCACGCACTGTCATTATGCTGCACACGTTGCTAACAATGTTTGAAAAATCAACTGCGAAAAAACAAAAGCTGGGTAACCTGCCGAGACCTACTAGAAGTTGCTTGGGCTTTTGGTATCCACCCAGAGCCCGTGAGGATTCATTCAAGCTTAGAAAGAAATGTTTTAATCAAGTCTGATCACAGGGCCATAGTTAGATGGAACAGTAGTTGAAAATGGTCAAAGATTAGCGTTTCAATTTAATATATTTCATGGGTGCCTTTAATGATAAAACGCACGCTCTGGTTGAACAAGGGCATGGGGGAACAACAGCATTCAACTATTTGTACCAGAAGTAGCTTTCAGTGCCTGCCTCACCCACAGCCACTCGCTGAGTGGTGTGGCCACGTAGGCCACTGTTGACGGACATTCACCCAGGGGACCCTTCCAGAGGGCAGACTGAGCCAATTAAATTCCCTGTCAGAATTGGACACAGAAGGGGCACCTAGGTGGCTCAGTAGGTTAAGCGTCTGCCTTCAGCTCAGGTCATGATCCCAGGGTCCTGGGATCGAGCCCTGCATTGGGCTCCCTGCTCAGCAGGGAGCCTGCTTCTCCCTCTTCCTCTGCCCTTTCCCCCTGCTTGTGTTCCTGCTCTCGCCATCTCTCAAATGAATAAAAATTAAAAGAAAAAAAAGAAAGAAAGAAACGGACACAGAAGAAAGCAGCCAATGAATGGAGAGCATAGAGAGGTCAGGACACAGGGTGACATCCTAAGAAACCATTAGAAATGGAGAAGAGAGACCACACTGCTGCCGTGGGGTGAGGAGAAGCCATGTGGGCTTATGTTCCCAGATATGAAAGACACCCCAACTGGAACAAGTAAGATGAATAAGCCTACACCATTAAGAGCCATCAAGCGTTTGTCAGGTGAAGAACGCCGTGCACCTAAATGGTAGGCAGAAGCCCTTGCCAACAGTGGCCCTGGCGCTTACTCTCTTTATCCCCATGCTTTCCAGTTTCTCTTCCAGGGTTTCCTCCAGGATTGGCCTGAACTGCTTCAGCAGGGTGGGGTTTCGCCTCAGAGCAGCCAGCACCTTCTGCTGTCCATGTCGGGAGTCCTCCAGATCTGCAGCACACGACAATCCACCAAGGTCAGCCTGGGAGCCCAAAACCTCCATTCCCAAAGCCCCACTGCACCTGCCTGGCCCTCACTGGCCTGTGACCCTGGTCTCCGGCCGGCGAGCCCAGGGCCTTGGGCCCCACCTGAAGGTCTGTCCCAGATGCTGGGGTGTTTCTGCTGCTGGCTACCACTGCTTCAGACCACCGAACCGCCTGCAGGATCCTCCTCCCCTGCCAGTCCAGGCCTCCAAGATCTGGGCTCAGTGCTGCCCAGGTTAGCTTGGGACTTTCGGGCTTTTGACTTGCTCTTGAGTCCAGGCAGCAGCCTGTTCCTGAGCTCCGTTCGTCCCCCCACCCAGTTTTACTGAGACATAGTTGACATACAGCAGCATATAAATTTAAGGTATACGGCGTAATGGCTTAACTTTATTGTGAGATTATTATCACAGTGAGTTTAGTTAACGTCCACCCTCTCATATTGATACAAAAGAAAAAATGAAGCCATTTTTTCCCCTTGTGATGGAAACTCTTGGGACCTACTCTCTTCACAGCTTTCCTGTGCACCTTCCAGCAGGGTTAGCTCCAGGCGTCATGTCCATGACATCCCCAGCACTCATTTCTCCTCTCACTGGAAGTTTGTACCCTTCGACCACCTTCCTCCGATCCCCTCCCCCTCCCCCTCTCCTCTGGTAACCACAAATTATGATCTTTTTTCTACGAGTTTGGTTTTTGGCTTGTTTAGATTCTACATATAAGGGAAATGATACAGTATTTGTCTTTCTCTGTCGGACTTACTTCATTTCACATAATGCCCTCAAGGTCCATCCATGTTATCACAAATGGCAGGCTTTCCCTCTTTTTATGGCTGAATAATACTCTACTATACATATCTACCTCAAATTCACTATCCATTCATCCATCAGTGAACAATTAGGCTGTTTCCATATGTTGGCTATTGTAAACAGCAGATTCCAGGCCCTGCCTGCTGCCGGCCCCATGTAATCCTAGCCCCACCTGATGCCCTCCCCTACTGCCATACCACGTTCTGCTCTCATCCAGGGGCTCCGATGCTGGTGGGATAGACAGCATAAACTTCCTTCAAGTTTACTGTCTATAGAGATTAGGGATTCACCCTTCAATGTGGTATACATCGGAACCACATGAGTTAAAAACGCACATTCCCTGGCCCCACCCTCCAGAGAGTCTGATTCCATAGGCCTGGGGAAGGGCCCTGGAATCTGCATTTTAACTTGCCTAAATGATTATGGTGGAGGTGAGCCACAGACCATACCAAGAAATATAGACCCAGGGGAGAACAAAATAAGCAATCACAATAAAATGTGGTCATTGCTGCAAAGGGGCCTTCCAAGGTGAGTCAAGGAACTCTTCCCAGAAGTGCTTTTCAGGTCTAGTGTGGGGCGGGGGGCGGGAGGGAGGATGGGCACACTGCCCTCAGAGCTGGACCAGCCCTTTGATTCACTCAATAGACATTTTCTGGCGAGTAATGTGGAGAATGAACGGGCCAGTACTGGGGTGCTGGGGACACAGAAGAAGACCCTCAGGGAGCTCACATTCAAGAGTGGTCATGTGAATTATGGCAGCGTATTTGAATCTCCTGGGCCCCATCCCAAACTAATTACATCAGAATCTCTGAAGGTGAGCCCCAGGCCTCACTATTTATTTTTAAAACTCCCCAGATCTTCTAACAAACACCCAAGCCTGAGAACCAATTGTTCGAGAGCAATGTGTGAGCCTCAAAGTGTGAGCCTCAGCATCAGCACCACCGGTAATGGACTAGAAATGCAGATTTTCAGATCCCACTCCAACCCTACTGAGTCAAACATTATGGATGTGGAGCCCAGCAATCTGTGTTTTAACAAGCCGCCCCCCACCAGGTTGATTCTCCTCCACCACATCTACACTGGGGCATGAGCCCCAACCTTGGCTGCACATTGGAATCACCAGGAGCTTTAAATACTACTGATGCCTGGAACCCACCCCCTATATGTTCTGATTTAGGCCATGGGGGGCTGGTGTGGTCCTTGGAGAGTTACAAGCGACCTGGATGATTCTTAATGTGCAGTCAGCTGCAGACAGCCACTGGTCTGACAATGGGTCTCCAACTTGAGCAAGAATCGGGATGCCCTGGAGAGTGCATGAAAACATAGGCTGCTGGACCCCGCCCAAGAATTTCTGAGTCTGTTTATGTGGGATAGGGCTGAGAATTCGAAAACTTTCCTTTCTAACAAGTTCCCAAGTGATACTGCTCCTGCTGATCTGGGACTAGAAGAGGCAGGCAAGCACATGAAGAGGCCGAGCACTGCGTGACCAGTGTGGGAGACCTCCACTGGGTGTGACAAGACGGGACAGGTAGGGGTCAGCTGAAGCACCCTCCTCAGCCGCCTCCTCTCTAGGACTCGGCAGCCCCTGTTGGAGAATTCGGTTCATCCCCTCTACAGACCTCAACAGGTCCAGTAACGGGTTGTGTTACTCAGCAGATACCTTTCCCCAAAAAAGGTACATGCAACTCTTACTTTTACTGCTAAATTCGAAGATTAAATGCCCAGGGTGGGGGTGGGGGAGTAGTAGAGGACTAGTTAAATAAATTTTGGTTGATCCATCCAATAGAATATTGTAAAGCCCTGAAAAAATAATGAAACAATTCTATGTAAAGGGATATAAAATGATTTCCCAAATAAGTTGTTAAGAAAATAAATAAGCACATACAGAGCAGTACGTATAGTATGATCCTATTTGGGGAAAAGGGGGGGAATGCAGAAACACATGTGCTTATATCTGCACCAAGTATCTTTGGAAAGATATATGAGAAACCATAGCAGTGCAATCTCTGGGTGGAAACTGGATAGCCCAGCGGGAGGGAGACCTACTTCTCACTGTACACACACCCTTTTGCTTGCTTGCTCACTTGTTGGCTTGCTTTTTTTCCAAGAGCATAGATTACTGTCTCAGAAGTAAAGAAAAAATGTTACATTAAAAAACAAAATACCATACCCCATGGTGAATTCTTTGGTAACACAATAGAACCCTTTCCTGGGTGCCATCTGTTGGGTCACTTTGGAATTGTCACATCATAACCTGGCTCCAGAGGGCAGGCCCCGGTCAGCGGGTCAGATGTGAGCTCTCCCTGATCTTTCCTGGGAGCTCCTTCTCCCCAACTCCCCCAGGAGCTCCCCGCAGTTAGGGAACACTGCTATTTTTTTTTCACTTCTCCTTTGCATCCCCTTGAATTATCTGGTTGAGCTCTCTCTGCATGTCAGACTCACCACTGAATGGACTGAATAAAAACAGGTGCCCAGTGCTATGAAGAGGGAGCCGAGGCAGACCCCCGAGCGGCACTCCGGGCCTAAGGGCTCTGTGCTGCATGCTCGCCATGCAGGATAAAACCGCGAGGGCCGCTTCAAGCCCGCACAGGGAGTCCTCACCCACTGCTCTGGACAGTACCAGGGCAGAGGTAGTGGGACAGGCACAAGGGTCAGGCTGTGCATCAGACACCACTCCAAATCCTGCCTCTGCCCACCTGCTGGTTCTGTGACTCCGGGCAAGTCACTGACCCTCTCTGGGTTTCCCCAACAGTGATCCATCAGATCGCACGTTAGTGCCTGCGTGCCACAGCCCCGGAACACACAAGGTGCTTGAGAAATATTCGTTTCATGTCCCTGCTTCCCTTCCTCCCAGCTTCCGGGGGCCAGACAGTGAGGGAGAAACAAGCTAAACAATGAGGAGGACAAATCTGTGTCACCGGGGAAAGAGAGTCAGGCCTCACCTTCCTCAGAAGAGTCCTCTTCCATGTCCACAGCCTTTGGGCCCTTGCAGGTCCCTGAGGAGAGCCCAAAAGTTAGTGGCCCCAATGCCCCGGACCCCGTCCTTGACTTGGAGGAAAGCACCGGACACCACGTGAGTGCCAGCCAGAAAGAGCAAGCCTTCCAGTCATTTCTGTACCAGGAGAGGCAGGATGGAGCCGTGGTCACAAGTGCAGACAGCGGGAGCCAGAAAGACCAGAGTTCACTGTCCAGCTTGCCCATCGCTGGCCGTGCACATCATGGGGGCCGGGGGCCGGGGGCCCGGAACCCCCCCAAGCCCCAGTCTCCTCATCGAAAAAATGAGGATGGTAATGCCCGGCCCACATTAAATGGTGGGGACGATGTAATGAGACAGTGAAACTAAAGCGCTTGACGAAGCGCATGGCACACATCCCAGCCCGAGCCCTCGGGACATTCGGGGCCCCAGGGATGGGGCCTATCTGACCTGCTTGCAAAGCTGGGAAAGAAACGTCTGACCTAGAGGCAGGGGATGGGGAGAGACGTGGGGGTTTGCAAGAAAAGGCAGAAGCGTGGCTAAAGAGATAGGACAGAGGAAGTGGGATGGAGTCGGAAGGGCCAGGTTTCATAAGGGGCTGGCCAAGGCCCTCCAGACAGGGGCAGTCCCTGCGGGTTACGGTCTCCCTTTAGATGCCGGCACGTGCATCCATTAGACACGCACACACACAAACAGCACACAGCAGCACACGGAGATACCCCAGAGGAAGACAGCACACGCTCTCAAACAGGCCACATTCACATAGATGTGGGGTCAACGTGCTACACACTGGGAGCAAGACATAAGTTGGTGGCTCGAACCACAGGCATGAGGAATTAGAAGCTTTTCATGAACCCCGCTCCATCAATCACTGCCCACAGGATCCTCACCCTTCCCCGGGTCTCCACCACCCCACGGAGAGGAGCAGGACAGACAAGAATCCATCCCGTCTGCCCCAGAAGCAGATTATCTTCTCGCCCTCCCTCACCCAGCCAGCGAGCCTGACACCCACGACCCATGAGCTGCTCTCACTGCTGCCCCCCTCATTCTACAAATTGACTGGTGGGGAACAGGAGAGAGAAGAGGCCAAGACGGTTAGAAAATACCCCGTGAGAACTTACCCTCCTCCTTCCTGAGAGACACGGTCTGGATCTACAAGAATGTGGAACAGAGCAGGTCACAGGCAGCAGGGGACTCTGCTCTGCGCAGTGGGTCTGCCCAGCACCAGAGAAGGGACAGCCAGTGTTTCCGTGCGCCGCCCCCCCGCCACCCCGCCGGGAACTAGAAGGAGCTCGGAGTATGCTGCCCCAACCCTCCAGCGCATCTCCTGCCATCCCTACGTGAGGGGGAAAGGCACCGAGGCTGAACGGCAGCAGCCGGGATGGCGCCGTGCTCCATTTTGCCACCATGGGGAGGCAAGAATGCCCCCTCCTCAGAGAGGGACTGTGACTTGAAGGGCAGGAGCCCCACGCAAGTGCAGTGAGACACGCACACAGCAATACTACTGGTACACTTGGTGGACAACCAGGGTGAGGCGGGCTCCCTCCTACCATGTGGGCATCTGAGCTGAGGGCCCCCTGGGCAGAAGGAGGCATGAGCCAGGCAGTCACTAAACTGCTCAGCCCCCCTTTTCCAGAAGGTGCCTCTTCATCCTCCTTCCACACAGGTGCACGTGGGACAGCCACCTGTGACAATGTGACCCTGCGCCACAGCCGTAGCCGACTGTCTAGGTTGGGGAGAACTCTGAACTGGAAACATGTGAAGCCAAGAGCCAGGCAGCCAACTGGTTTTGGTTTTTCTGTTTATTTGTTTGCTTGTTTGTTTTGTCACATGGGACAGATATGACGTGAAAGCTGATCTTCAGAATAAAAGGAAAAAAATTGAAGCAAATCTAGAGAAAAAGAACAGAGACACACAACAAAGGAAAACTCCTGACCACATTCATGTCTCTGGTTCCAGTTAATCCCAGACTCAGCTGCTCTCCTGCCTTGAACTCTCTGAGACGTCCTGTCTACCCTTACAACAAATTCCCTCTTCTGCTTGAGCTTGCGTTGTTTTCTATTATCAACTGATGAATGACACATCCAATGTCGATTTCCAACTACTTCCTCCTTTGCCCGCCTCTATTCTAGAGACTCTAAAACTAATTATGTGCTTTCTAACCTTCCTTGCAACTATGGTTGCCCATGTAATACAGCTTTGACCAATAAAATATAAGCAAAAGTCTTAGGAAGGGGCCTTTTCACCAACTTCTTCTATTGTATATGGGGATGGTATGACAGCCATCTTGCAATTATGAGAGTCAAGCATGAGAACAAAAGTCAACCCACTGAAGATGGCAAAAAAGAAAAACTGTTTGGATTTCCAATGGCATGATTTTGCTGCTAAACCAAGGCCATCAACTGTCACCTCTTCTGATGTTACAATACAAATGAACCCCTATTAACCTATTCTAAATCCATGTATAGCCAATGGGTTCCTTAGTGAAATATTTGCAAACAAGAGTTCTGGGTAACAGAAGAAAGAAATCTCCAGAATGGACCTGAGGTGGCCAGAGCAGTGAAGAGCTAAGTGGGGGGATGCCCAGTAAAAAGAAAAGCAGCAGGGGAGAGGGTCAGATACACTACCTGAGTGAAGTATGGCTGGGAGAACAGAAAAGCACAAATAGCCGGGGTGCAGGAACAAGGAGACTGAACTAGATAGTGACAGGAGGCGCTCTGCTTGGAAAATCTGTGCAGAGGATGGTTTCAGAACCATGACAAGGCCCTGAGGCCACAGAGGGACCCCTCCTCTGATGGCAGAGACATCTCTCCCCTAACATGCAGCTCAGAAGGGGGAGTTGAGCCTGGACTAGGTAGAGAGTTATCAACATTAGGTGAAGGGGTCAGTTCTAGGAGAGAGGTGCTTCGTGAGTAGGTGACTTCTCATCATACTAGTTTGTCTGACAACCTCATCAGAGGCAGTTAATTTAGGAAAAGGGTATTGGCCAGCAAATTATGTCTGAGAACGCATGAAAAGAGTATAAGCTTTGCATTGCACTGCCTGGCCAGGGTTGAATCCTCCCCCCGGCCCCACCCCGGCTCTTACAGGGTGTGCTCTGTGGACTCCTCCGGCCTGTTCCATCATCTGTCACATGAAGATGGGGGGAAGCCAATGTCTGCCTTGAAGGGCAGTAGTGATGTTTAAATGAAGTAATAAGCCAAGTATCAACCAGGTGCCAGCCCTTAGACAGTGTCTGGTGTTAGTGTGAACCTAGTAACACTGCCCCTCAGGACAACAGGGGCATCTTCAGCCTGGAAAGAGACAGGCTGCATCCTCATCATTCTTTTCTCTCTCTTTAGAGAGTCTCACTAATGAGACCACTGCCAGTGAGTCCCAGAGAGTCAGAGGAGATCCTCACAGAGAAGAGGTCCAGGGGCCCCGAGGTCTGGCTGGGAAGAGGGACAGACCTACCATCTCCTCCTGGGAGGCGATGAGCCTGGCTTGTTCCTGGAGCTGGGCGCGGAGAGCACTGATCTGGCGCTGGGACTGGGCAGCTGCTTTCCTCTGATCCTGAGACAGGGAGGCCTGGAGCCTCTCGTTCTGCTCCTGCAGCTGGTGGGCACAGGAGACTCGGTCAGTCAAATGTCGCAGGGACCTCTGAGTGCCCAGTAGCTGCAGGGCCTGCACCTGTAGGCAAACCGCTGACCGCGGTTTTACCTGAAGCGGGGTAGGGGGTTTCCAGACCTGGGCAGGTGGCTTTCTAACAAGATGGACTACTTTCCAGTTTGGGGACATTTTCAAGCTGTGCTTGAGGGGAAGCAAGAATTGGATGCAGGCCCCTAAGATCAGGGCAAAAAGCCTCTCTGTCCAGTGTGACCACCCACTAAAGGACAGTCAGATAACCTGAGGCCATTCAAGAGTCATCAAACGGTGTTTTTAGGTAAAAACAAAAGGTGAAGAAGATATGGTCCCATGCTGTTGTAAGAGTAGAGAGAAAATGAGACTGTTTCTATTTGCATAAAGAAACTCTAGGAAAATACACAGGAAAGCAGTACAAGTTGTCAGCCACGGGGTGGGTGTTGGGAGCAGGTGGATGGAGATGGGGGGAGAAGTGAACCCTAATATGTTTTAGTGCATTGTACTGAGTATGCCTTAATAGCTTTCTTCTGCTTTTGGAATAAATTAAACTCTATTTCCTATTTTAAGACGTTTCAAATAAAATAAAACCGTCAGATGGGAATTACTGGAAATGGGGGCGTCTATCACGCGCCGGCCTCTGATCTGAGCACTTTCATCTTCTGCGCTTTCTGCCAGCAGCACGCGGGGCTCTTGTTAATCAGCTTCCTCCTCAACTTGCTTCCTCCTCAGGGGCATTTTCAGAGAAGCTGTTTTCTCATCCTGAGGCCTGCTGCTCTCTGTTCCCTGGTCTCAGTATCGGAGACCCTCCATTTGGGCCCCCCCCGAAGGATGGCTGAGGCTCTCTCCTGGGTGGGGTGTCAAAGGGCCCAAACATGAAATGACCAGGCAATGCATCTGAGGTTTCCAGCACAGGTCTCCGTGGAGGGCCTGAACGGGTCCCTGCTTAGGGGACCACACAGTAAAGCAGGTGTTGGGCTCAGAAGAAAAGGCCCGGAGGCCCCTACTCCTGGCCAGGGAGGCTACTGTCTGCGCAGCTGACCCCTTCTGTGGATTGACCGGGGTCAGCCGCCAGGAACACTATCAGCAACAAAATACCAGCCAACCAGTTTGAGGGGGGTAGTGGTGGAGGATGGGAATGCCGCAGGGTAAGAGAAGATCTCAGGAAACCCAGCCCCCGCAGACCACCCGAGCGGAGTTACCTCTCGCTTCTGAGCTGCATGCTCTCCCTGAAGTTCCTTCATTTTTCTCTTCCATTCTGCTTTCTGAAAAAGATAAATGCTGTCAAACGGGCCTCTGGATATTAGAATATGTTATAAAGCTACAAGAATTAAAAAGTACTGGCTCATGATTAGGCAGAGTAGTGAAAAGAATAAAAAGCCCAGACAAAGATGGGGGTGGGAAATGGAATCTTAGTCTGGGGTAAATAGATTATTGACAACTAGAGTTCAAACAGGTGGTTAACTGCCTGGAAAAAAAATATATGAGCTTGAATCTTTATTTCATATCTTAAACCAAAATAAGTTTTAGGTGGGTCAAAGATGTAAACTTAAAAAATGGAAGTGACATCAGTAAGATGGTGCCATTGGAGATTCCAGCTCTCAAACCACCCACAGATGAGGATTCCTTTATGGGAGCCCAGGAATCCAGCTGAGAGTTTCTAGTACCTAAAAGGAGCAAACAAACAAACAAACAAACAAACAAAAACAACAAAACCCCAAAAATAGATGTATTCCAGAGAAGTTTCACTTTATCTGCATCAGCTCTCTCCAAGGTGGCACAGCTCAGTGCCAAGAGAGACGCCCCTCAGCCCACAGTTTTTCTCACGGAGGAAAGTGAGAGCGAGTGAGCACCCGCTGCCCCGACCTCACAGGATGCTGCCCAGGAGGCCCAATTCTGTCCCACCCCTCTCAGAACTGAGGGACAGGGCAGAGCAAATCAGCCTGTGCTGTTGGCACAGGGATCTCAACAACCAGCCACAGCTCCAACTGGCTGGTTTGTGGACACCAGGAGGTGTAAGATGAGAAGTATTTATATGCAACCGATATTAAGTTGTTATCAGCTTAAAATAGACTGCTGTAATAGCAGATGATTTATGTAAGTCTCACACTAACCACAAAAAAATCTATAGCAGATATGCAGAAGATGAAGGAATCAAAGCATACCACCACAAAATAAAATCATCAGGGCGCCTGGGTGGCTCAGATGGTTAAGTGTCTGCCTTCGGCTCAGGTCATGATCCCAGAATCCTGGGATCGAGTCCCACATCGGGCTCCCTGCTCCTTGGGAGCCTTCTTCTCCCTCTGCTTCTCTCTCTCTCTCTTTCTCCCTCTCTCTCTCTCCCTCTGTCTCTCATGAATAAATAAATAAAATCTTAAAAAAATAAAATAAAATAAAATCATCAAATCGAAAAGGAAGGCAGCAAGAGAGGAGGAAAGGAACAAAGTAACTACAAAACAGTCTGAAAATAATTAACAAAATGGCAATAAGTAAGTCCTTACTCATCATTAATTACTTTAAATTTAAATGGATTAAGTTCTCTAATCAAAAGACATAGAGTGACTGAACGGATTAGAAAAACAAGATCCAGCTACATGGTGCTTACAGGAGACTCACTTCAAGGCCACACATACGCTGAAACTGAAGGGATGGAAAAAGATATTTCATGCAAACTATAACCAGGGGAACAGGGGTAGCTATACTTCCATCAGGCCACAAAGGCTTTAAGTAAAAAACTGTTACAAGAGACAAAGAAGGTCACTATATAATGATAAAGGGGTCAATTCATCAATATAACAATTGTAAATATATAAGCATCCAAAATCAGAGCACCTAAATATAGAAAGCAAATATTAATACAACTGAAGGGAGACATAGCAATACAGTAAGAGCATGGGGCTTCAATGGCCCACTTTCAACAATGGATAGATCATCCAGACAGAAAACCAAAAGGGAACACTAGACTTGAACGTCACTATAGACGAAATGGACCAGATAGACGTATACAGAATATTCCATCCAAAAGGAAAACCACCTATGGAATGGGGAGAAAATATTTTGCAAACCACATATCTGATAGGGGGTTCATATCCAAAATATAAGAAACTTCTACACCTCGATAGAAAAAAAAAATTAATGGACAAAGGATCCGAATAGACATTTCCCCAAAAAAGGCCTACAACATCATTAATCAGCACAGAAATATAAATCAAACCACAATGAGATATCATCTCACACCTGTCAAGATGGTTATTATTAAATATATATATATAACAAGTGTTGGTGAGGATGTGAAGAAAAGGAGATCCTCATACACTGTTGGTGGGAATGTAAATTGGTGTAGTTATTATGAAAAACAGAGTGGAAATGCCTCAAAAAATCAAAAACAGACTTACTCATTTCCCCCGGATATCTCCCATGTATACATAAGATATATTTGTTAATAAACTTGTTTTTCTGTTGTTAAAAAAAATTAAGGGGCGTCTGGGTGGCTCAGTCAGTTAAGCATCTGACTCTTGGTTTCAGCTCAGGTCATGATCTCAGGGTCATGGGATGAGCCCCACATCATGCTCTACACTCAGCGTAGAGTCTGCTTGTCCCTCTCCTCCTGCCCCTTCCCTCTCTTGCCCATGCCCTCTCTCTCTCCAATAAATAAATAAATAAATAAATATGTAAAATCTTTTTTAAAAATCAAAAACAGAACTACAATATAATCCAACAACCCCACTTCTTGATATTGATCAAAAAAAAAAAAAAACTGAAATCAGGATCGCAAAGAGATACTCACCCTCCCATGTTCATTGCAGCACTATTCACAATAGCCAAAATAGGGAAACCTAATAATCCATTGAGTGATGAGTGGATAAAGCAAACATGGTACATACATACACTGGAATACTATTCAGCCTTAAAAAAGAAGGAAACCCTGCCTCAACATGAATGAACCTAGAGGACATTACGCTATGGGAAATAAGCCAGACAAGAAAGACAAACACTGTATGATCTCATTTACATGTGGAATCTAAAATAGTCAAACTCATAGAAACAGAGAGAGAATGGTGGTTGCCAGGGGTTAAGATGGGGAGGTTATGGCCAAAAGGTACAAGGTTTGTTATGCACGATATATTGTATACTTAAAATTTGCTAAGAAGGTAGATCTTACGTTGTGTTACCACCACACACACACAAAGAAAATAATAATAATAATAATAAAAATAAAGAGGGTGGGAGGAAACTTTGGGAGGTGATGGATATGACTGTGGCCTGATGGTTTCAAGGGTAAATACTTATCCCCAAACTCAATGAATCGTGTACTTCAAATATGTACAACTTTTTACATGCCAATCATACCTCAATAAAGAGGTACGTATGAATGAAAGAATAAATAAATAAGGCCATAAAGGCACTAAAAGGAAACACAAAAACATTTTCTTTTTAAACCTCAGAGTGGCCATAAACAAAAGATTGATAATTTGATCATTTTGACCACATAAACATTATTAATTTCGTATGGCTTAAACCACGATCAACAAAATTGAAGGAACAATGTTGTGGGGTAAATAACCACAAGAACAGGGGCGCCTGGGTGGCTCAATCGGTTAAGCGTCTGCCTTCCGCTCAGGTCCCTGGGATTGAGCCCCGCATCTGGCTCCCTGCTCAGCGGGAAGCCTACTTCTCCCTCTGCCCTTCCCCCCTGCTCGTGCTCTCTCTCTCTCTCTCTGACAAATAAAGAAATAAAATATTTTTAATAAATAAAATAAATAACCACAAGAACAAGAAAGAGTTGGGTTAAGTTCTATATGTCATAGAAACTCTGAAATTGGTAAGGAAATCCATAGAAAATGAGGCAAAGGATGAGAACAGAGGTCATAGAAAAAAAATTAGCTTTTCTTAATGTGAAACTTGTAAAACATCAAGCAGTAGAAACACTTTGCTGCTGTCAGTTAGACGTTAAGCTCTCTCTTAACAATCGTAGAGAGCAGAAACAGAAGCACAGCCTGATTGAGTGACCAGGCCCTTCCTCGTCATGGAGCGATCAGTGATGCAGACCATATGTAGCTGGACCGTCGTAAGATTCGTCCAGTGCTGGCCAGAGCCACCGCCTGCCGGCTCAGGAGAGCAGACTCGGCTCCAGCCTCTCCAACTCCATATCCAGGGGCCTCACAGTGGCAGCATGAAATCGGCCAGGGTGGGAAATGTCACGCTACAGAAAACAGCAACTGCTACAGATTAAAGCTTTGTTAGGCCCAAAGAGTGATTGTTAGATATTTACCATCACCCACGAGACCCACCCCAAATGCCTTCAAAACAGGAGACTATCACACTTGCTAAGAGTTGTTTTCAACTGGGTTGGAATCAAAATGAGGGTAAAGGTACCCAGTAAGGGACATAACTGTATGTGTTTTGGAAAGATCCCAGGCAAACCTGATATTGCACCCACGTGTATCACCAGCCTCACGTGAGAACCCTAAGAATCCGATCCCATGCTTTTGTGCGTTGGCAGAAGGTCTGCAAAGATAAAACCTGATGTCTTCCAACTTCCATAAAACCACAGGGCAAAACAGAGAAACTTTATTGAAAGCAACATGGCTGGCTGTGGGGAAATGGGCAAGAGCTATCAGCTCACCTGAATGTCCATCTTCTCCCTCAGGGCCCGGAGCTCCTGAGTCTGCCTGAGTCGCTCCTCAGACTCCTCATCCTGCAGTGACCCGAGATTGGACTCCATCACACTGTGGGACTGCAGCGCCTGCAGTTTCTGAAAAGCCAGGACACGGTCTTATTCAGATGAAGATCTAATCTTGATGTCGTCTTTTATACCTTGAGCAACGTCAGAAGGGCATACGTTACCCCACCAAACTCCCGCTTGTCCTCACCAGACATCTCCGTGCCTGCGCATACTCACACAAGTCTGCACTCCCCTCCATGAGGGTTCCCCTGAGAGCTCAGTGCTTACTCGGGAGAAACAGGTGCCCCGTGGACGAACAGAATTCGAGAGCAGAATTTCAACTGCACTGAAATCCGGCTGTACCCCAAACCCAGAGCTCGCCAGACATTTCTGCCCCCATTTCCTCCTCAGTCTCGAATAGGCTGAAGAGAATCAGACTCTTAGAGGCTTTGGGAGGGTCTCATGCACTCTGGACCATTCCCTGAGGACTCCTGTCCCTCCTCCCACCAAAAAACGCTGGCTGTCACCAAGACGGCATGCCTTTGCCTGGCTTGGAGTGGTGTCACCAATACCTAGCGATTCCTGAGCTAGCAGTGTGTCATCTGAAGGAAAGGGCACAGAAAAGGGGATCCAAGAGGAGGGGTCTTGCCACCTATGGTTATATTTTTTTAAACATATCACTGCTGCAGTCATAAAAGTAAATTATCTCCATCTCTATCACTACACAAAACCCATAAGCCCCCTATTAAAACTTTAAAGAACTGCAAGTCCCTGAGTTTAACCTGTTATCTTTCTTGCTCAGCCTTAACTCTTCTCAACTGCTAAAGCAGTATTGGGTGTAAATGTTAACCACTTCTAATTGAGTATTTTCATAGAGTCAAATGCTTTTTTAAGTGGATGTGCAACCCTCGGCTTCTGATGTGTCATTTCTGTCTTCACACTGATGCTCAGACAACCAGAGAGCAGGCTCTCTCGGCATTACAAACCTTCATGGCAATTTCCATTCAACTAGGGACTCCTTTGGCAGCTGGATTTACCCTACATCTTACCTAAGGTTCTTTCTGCAGCCAGGTAACTTAGCCAAAGTGAGCTCACAGGCTTTTGTATCCAAGGGAAAATTTTGAGGAGAAACATCTTCGAGAAGTATTTCCCTCTCACTGGCCCTTCTAACAGCAAGGGGAATCTTATCTTATGTAATGAGATGGACGGGCTTACAGTGTTATTCACACTTATTGTAAATGAAATCTTATCTCTTTTTCCCCCAAATTAGGAAAAAAAGCTAACAAAATAATTATCCAAATACACTGAGAAGTGTGTATCCAGTTTGGTTCCTATAATAAAAGTAAAATATAAAATGTCACTTGAGAGGAGATGGGGGAGACATACAGACACAAAAACACAGCATAAGCAATCCTATAAAGGAAAGACCCAAAAAATGATGTTCCAGTTTAGGAAAATGTGACCCAAGTTAAAAAGAAACCATGGATGGTAAGAATTATGTCCTCATTCACCAAAACTTAGAATTTCTGAACCAAAGTAAGCCTCCAACCTTTGCTGAGGTTTCTGAACAACAAATCCAAATTCAAATCAGTATCTATCTATCAAATGTCTAGTCAGCTAGCACCATGTCAGGGGAGGAGTGGGAGTCAGCAGGGGTGTGGGCGAGCTCAGGAATGAGGAGCATGGAGCTGGTAAGAGCATAAGCTCCATGTGGTGGAGCAGCATCTTGTCTCCCACATATTGTCCCTGACCACACTGCAGGAACATTTAGGATGGGAGGGCTTGGGCCTCTATAGATGCACACACACACACAAACACACACAAACACACACACACACACACACACGGCTCTCATCTCAACCCCGCAGCCTTCCCTATCCCTGGCTTCCCATCGCAGATTGAGATGATGGATCACCTAAGACTCCACTCATATCCCATGACAATCTCCTTCTGGAAAAGTTCTCCAGGTGTTTCTTTAACAAAACGTAGAATGATTATGAGAAATGCTACCAGCAGTTCATTTTCAAAAACAAGAGAAGATTCTCCTTGATGTTAGAAGGACCAACAAGAGCTAAATATATTCTGAAAATATTTCTCCTCCAAAACATTTTCCCTGGTATGGTTTTAGTCATATAGGTTTATATGAGAAGATACAGTCCAGGGATAATAACCTTTAATAAGGTTTTCCTGAGTAACCTTGACAGTATACCCAGTAGAAAAGCAGAGGCTTGAAGTTTAAAAAGTTAAGTTCAAATCCCAGGTCTACCCCTTAGTAGATGTGTGACCTTGAGGATGTTATGGGCCCTCAATGTCTTCCCCTGCAAAGGAGGAATGATAATAGTTTTCTTTTAAAGAACTTTACAAAAGAAATAAGTAAACGAATAATGTACCTACTTTGAGAACGTTACGGTTGTTTTGTTGTTGTAAGGATTGAAAGTTATTGTAAATAAAGTGCCCCGCACAGGGGCTGGAAACCAGTAAATACAGTCAGTAAATCTTACTATTCCACGTGATCTCCACAGACCCCAACAGAGCACCTGGCAGGTAGGCAGCACTCAGCACATACTTGAGAAGTGCATTCATTTAAATTTTGCCTGATATCTTGTCCAGTGATGAAAGAAAGCCCTTTGTAAAAATAAAGATAATGTCTAGGGAGTTCTTACTATATACCAGACAATGTTAAGTGCTGTCTGTGTGCTAATTTAACCCTTCCAGCAACCTATCTTACAGAAAAGAAACTGAGGCACAGGAAGGTTAAGTAACTCGCGTAAGGTCACACAGCCAATATGTGATAGAGCAGAGATTCGATCCCTGGCACTGGCCTCTGGTATCTGGCCTCAGTATATTAGCCCCCAATGGCAGATGAAATAAAACTAGCACAAACTAAGAAATAAGTGTCGAGAATAAACAGTTTTTCAGCAAAAGAACTTTGAACGCCTTTTGTGTTGGGTACCTCTTCTAACGTAGAGTTGTGGTTGGCAACACTTTTAAATTCATCCCAAAATAATTTTTTTAGCTTGTCTATTTCCTCATATAGCTTGGCCCGCTCTTTTTCTTTCCATTCATCAAATTCTTTCTTAGCTTCTGTTTCCTTCTGACGGGTGATCTCTGCTTCCTGGAAAGAAAAGCAAGAACAATAGAATCATTAATTCCAGATTATGGCAAATACTGACTGAGAAACTGCTGGGGCCCCTTGTCTGGGCAAATCACTGTGGAGACCCAAAGCACATTCGTCCCAGTCCCCATTGTTTGGACATGGAGGGAGCCAAGTCTTATCTAAACTATAAAGTCCCTTGAAGATAGGGACCCTGTCTTTTGTCCCTCTTTGTATTCGTGGCAGAGCAGGCGCTCAGTAAATGGGTGCTGAGGAAATGAATGAAGAATGACTACATGAAGAAAGGGGTGAGGCAAGTTTACATACTTTCATTCTACAATTATCTACTAAGTACTCCTCGACACTGGACTTTGGAGTTTATCCAGTCTTTGTTCTCAAAAAAGCAAACCAGCAGGGTAGTGTAAGAAGTTGACATTCTGGTTCAAATGCCCTCACAGTGTGCTGAATAATGCAGGAGAGTGCAATTCTCGGCTTTACTTTTGGCCACACAGATCTGGAAAAAGAGTTGAATTTTCCTTCCCAGCCAACCTAAGATCATTTGCCACACCCAGGAAGATGCCACCCTGGCACTGACTCCCAGCTGCAGGAAACCAGCCAGACTTTCGGTCCTATGGGAGACAGGTGCCTCATGGGTCTCCTCAGTAGTCCACGACTGGGTCTCCCCAGAGCTTCCTCTCCGGGCCCACCTGCAACTGTCGCTGCCTCTCCGCCTCCCTCTGAGCTTCCAGCTCCCCTTGGGTCCATTTTAGCTTGGCCCGCAGCTCTTCCAACACCTCCTCCACTGGTTGTTCCTGCTTCTTCTGCTTCCCTGTAGGGTCCATGCAAAGACAGCGTGGCCAGTTTCAGTGAAAACGTGAATGAAGTGTGGTTCCTCGCCTATGCAATCAGCCACACCTCAGGCTGAGACCAGCTATGCCATTTCCATTGGACACTGACCGCGGGCAAGTGACATAACCTCCCCGACCCTCAGTTTCCCCAAGTTGGAAAATGGAGATAAGAGCGCCCAACTCAGACTGTTGTCTTGAAGGTGAAATGTGATAGTGCAAAATGCTTAGCATAGTGCCTGGCCTGACAGCTCACTAAGCGTGAACTATTACTGTCATTGAAAATAACCATTTTGACAGTCCCGACACGCACAAATGTAAACAGGAGATCGGTAGAGTAACAGAAGCAGAATACCAAACAGCACGTGCACAGTGATTATTAATACAAAGAACCTATCAATGGATCCTGACAGCCATCAGAGAGGAGCTTAACATAGTGAAAATAATTGTAGTTTTAAGTTCACTTTGTTCAGAAATACAGGATAGTAGTAAGTTTCAAATGAAAAAAAAAGCAGCATGTATTATAAAGGAAACTTTCAGCCAAGGTTGCTGTAAGTGAATACTTTAACTTTTCAAAGATTAAAAAGAGAATGAATTATAAGAGAACATTCTAACTAAACCACATACTTATAAACCAAGAGTTACAGGTTAATGAAAAAGACACCAATTGTACTTGGACATTTGTTACTTTTTAAAGTACCTTTAGTGCCTATTAGACAGCACCATTATTAAAACCCGAAATGAGATATGGTTTTCCTCAGACTGGACTTTTTAGAAACAAGCAATTTTTAGATGCGGTAGAAATTAATTTGGGTTAACAAAGTGATATGAAAAAGGAGAGCAGGGGTATCAGAAAGGCCAGCTGCCTGAAAATAAAAAGATCATGAACATTAATTTAGCGAAAGTTGCCCGAAGAACATATTTTCCTTCTCCTTCAGCACTTAACCTTAAGAAAATAATAAGGAATATGCACAAAGATTTACATACAAGAATGTAGATCATGTGATTTGTAATAGGGAAATTTATGAGTAACCCATATAAAGTATGAAGTAATTGAATTGTGAAATAAATTATGATAGCCACAGGATGGGATACTATTCAGCCATTAAAAATCATGTTTTCCAAGATGACTGAATGACACTGGAAATGTGACATATTAAGTGAAGATAAGCAACAGTCAAAACTGCATAGTATTATACTATATATGTACACAGAAAAATAATGACAGAGAACACACCAAAATATTAACTAGGTGATATTGTCCATGGTTTTTATTTTCGCTTTTCTACCCTTCTGTATTTAAATTTTCCAGGTCAAGGGACACCTGGGTGGCTCAGTCCGTTAAGCGTCTGCCTTCAGCTCAGGTCATGATCCCAGGGTCCTAGGATCGAGTCCCGCGTCTGATTCCTTGCTCAGCGGGGAGCCTGCTTCCCCCCTCTGCCTGCCACTCCCCCAGCTTGTGTTCTCTCTCTCTCTCTGGCATATAAATAAATAAAAAATCTTTAAAAAAAATCAACAAACTTTTTTTAAAAATAAATTAATTAAAAAAATAAATTTTCCAGGTCAAAGGCATCTTTTCCAATTTTTTTATTGTGGTAAAATACACATAACATAAAATTTAGCATCTTAACCATTTTTAAATGTACAGTTCGATGGTATTAAATACATTCATAATTCATAATGTTGTACAACTATCACCAGCATCCACTTCCATAACTCTTTTCTTCTTATAAAACAATAACTCTGTATGCTTTAAATAACTCCCCATGGACCCCCTCCCCCGGCCCCCAGCAACCATCACTCTACTTTCTGTTTCTATAAATTTGACTACTCTAGGTGCCTCATATAAGTGGAATCACACAGTATTTGTCCTTTGGAGACTGACTGACTTGACTTACCATAATATCTTCAAGGTTCATTCATGTTGTAACATGTTACAGAATTTCCTTTCTTTTTAAGGCTGAATCCTATTCCCTTGCATGTATATACCACATTTTGTTTATGTATTCATCTGTCTATGGACATTTGGGTGCTTCCACATCTTAGCTACTGTGAATAATGCTGCTATGAACATCAGTACACAAATATCTCTTCAAAGACATGTCTTTTTATCAGAAAAATTCATTTAAGAAGTAGAAAATCTGTTTTTCTTTAGCAGCCTCCAATGCAGAACCAAGAAGAATTAGATATATAATAAATGCATAATAATTAGGTAAATGGTGCTGTTTTAAAACTCTAAGTCTGCTCTTTGAAAAGGAAATTTAAATGAAGAAAAATAAGAAAAAAGTTTTATTTAATGGGATTTTTATATTTATGATTTATATCTTCATATTTATATTTATTTTATGTGTTAACAGCTATTTCTTATGAACCACAAATATGGATATAAAATATGCAAATCTCTTTATGTGGAAACATACAGCCTTGCTACTCGTTTTGGAATTTGAAATGGTAAAATTAAAGTGATTAAGTCATAATTAGCTCATGTACATACAAAAAGTCAAAGAACTGGTCTAACTGCTCATTAACCCCATTTAAGCCCATTCATAGTTAGCATCAGAGAACAGCAGATTCATAGAAGGCTGGAAGGTAAGGACCCTTCAAAGTCACAATGTGACTGCCCCATTCACAGCAAAGGCCACTGAGACTCAGAGGGGGTGCACTGACTGTGGTCACATAATAGGAAGGGGTAAAGCTAACACTGAACTTACCTGTCTGACTCCCTTTTTCTCTACACACATGGTCAGAAACGCTCCCAGCTCCACATGGGATGGATTCCCCCTGTGGTGGATGGTGGGATCATCCCCTCCTCTACTGGATGATGAGGTCTGAGGGCAGCTGTGATGGTCTACGTGCCCACACCCACTGAAAACCAGCCCAGACTCTTCTACGGTCCCAGGAGGGCCACCTGGACTCACCTCCTTCTGCCGCACTTGCATGCCGGCGCTGGATGTGGCCCCGGAGAAAGGTGGCATTCATGAATGTCTTGTCACACAGGTGGCACTGCACAGAAGGGAAACAGTGGTAAGTGCAGGATTACATCACCTGGCTCAACCTGGGGTTCTCCCAATATCAAAATTCCCATTTCCGTGGGCTCTCGGGGCTGCTTCAGAAATGAAGAATTTGATCTGAACACTACCAGCGCCCTGGGGAGCTGTGAGCACTACCTAGGTATTTGAGGATACTAAGGAATTTTTGTTGGTTTTTCAAGACATGTTGATGGTAGTGTTTATATTTAAAAGTGAGAGTCTCTGCCTTTTAGAGATACATACTGAAATACTTAGAGATAACACCATATGTCTAACACACTTCAAAAGTGATGCAGGCGAGGGGGCAAGCAGGTAGGGGAACATGTCCAAAAACATTGGCCATGAGTTGATAACGAATGGGCTGAGTAGTGTACAAATGAAGGTTCATTACACTATTCTCTCTTTTGAACGTGTTTAAAAATTTTCACAATACAAAGTAAAAAAAAAAAAAAAGCCAATGTCCAGGGCCCACCCTAGGGTTGAGAACCACCAGAGCAGAGCAGAACAAATAATAGTATCTCTAATTCTGCTTCACTCTCAAGCATTAAAGAGTCATGATGAAAGTATAGTAGCCACTCCTTCCGCTGACAACAGAACCCCGATTTTCTTCTATGGAATCACTGTGCCCCTTACTTTCCATCCACGGGCTTTGGTCCATCCCCAGCTCCACGGTGGGACATGTGACCTAGACCAGTCACAACCCTGAATTCCTGGGGACCTGTGAATGGCTCCCAGATGGGTAGGAGACCCAAACACAGCCAAATACAGGACACAGTGAAAAACTGGCCGGGTTTCTGGGACCAAAGTAGGCCTTCTATGATGCCAGCCTTGAACCTAGGAAAGTCAGATACTGGCACTGGTGGCCCAACTTGCTACCACACAGACAGAATCTTTCTGAGAATGGAACCCACACTTGGAGAAGAGTTGCCAATAGCTACAGGGACAAACTAAATTCTGGTGCCCATCATCTGATTCCAAGGACAAGCCACACCTCAGTCCCACCAGAGCTCTGGATTTTTCAGTTAAAGTAGCCAATAAATTCCTTACTGGCCTAAGCCAAGTTAAACGGCTGCTCTGGCATTTACAACTGAAAGGGTTCTGACCCTTTGTATCGTAATTAACATTGTCTCGATTACCATTAGATCCATTTACATTGTATCATATGATTCCTTCTGTCCCACCTACCGCCAAACTATGACTTTCTTGAACACCTGAGCCAGCGTGACTTGTGCCTGCCTCCTCAGAGCCTGGCCCAGGACCTGGCCACCATGACAATTCATGAAAGTGCAGTGGTCCCCAGGCCACACTAGCCATGCAGATGCGAATGTCCAAACGCCACTCTGGGTAATGAACTGTCACTTGGTTGAATGATGGAATCACTTTTCGGGAATGGGCCTGGCAGTACCAGTCTCTTGCTACAGACTGATTCTACACACACATACAAACACACACACACCTCTTACACACGCCTTTTTACATCACACTGCTACATGCACACACAAACCCTTCAAACATACACACTCACGCCCTCCATAAATACACACACCCTTACACACATATATATCCTTCATTCATCACACACACACACACACCGTAAATATATCTTTAGGTGCACACTTCACACACAAGCACACATTACACACCACACACCCTACATACATACATACACATACCACACACGGATGTATGTTCCAAACATTCACATGGTAGACACACATATCCACACTGTCCTTAAACATGCACATCCTCCACACATTCACACCTGCACTCCCTCGACATGCACCCTCTCCATAAACACACACACACATATGCACACATATCCTTCAGATACACACTTGCCACACACACACACACACACACACACACACACACACACACACTGGAGAACTTGCTGAGACAGCTCTAACATCTGCTCCTCACCCCAGTAAGCATGGCCCACAGCAACCTGAGGCCCATCCCGGTGGTGGTGCCGCCCAGGTGGCCCGGTGACTGGGCCCACAGCCCTCCCCCTCCCCACCCTGCAGAGATTCCTCACCGCGTGGTAGCTGTGGGCCCCTGTCTGCAGGAGCAGCTGCTGCAAGGTGCCGATCATCTTGCGACGCCGGCGGCTCTCCTCTCTCACGCCCTTGAGCTCATCAGCCTGGCGACCCAGCTCTTGCTGGCCAAGCTGCTGCTGGCCCAGGCTGGCCTGCAGCCGGGCCTCCAGCTGGGCGATGTTGGCACTCAAGCAATCCTGGCAGTGCAGCAGGTACTCGATGATGAGCTGGGCCAAGCGCAGCACCTTGAGCAGCACCGGGTCCACGGGCTGCCCACAACGGCTGCACGCCTCCCGATCCAAATTGCAGAAGGTGACCCCAGTGATGTTCTCCTGCAGGGTGGCCACGTCCAGCTCCCGCGCCACGCGGTCCACGTCCAGGGCGCTAATGCGCCTCCAGTCCACGGTCTCGGAGCGAGGCTGGAACTTGAAGGTAGGAAGCGGGTAGGCCCCAAAGAGGGAGCCACTGAGGCCTTCAACGGGGGTAGCCGGGGACTGCATGGGCGGAGGAAGCCCTGGACTGACCACCGAGGGACGGTGCCACCAAGGCCACGGCAGCAGGCACAGGAGCTGAGAGAGGGCCTGGAAAATAAGGAGAGGGTCCAAGTTGGGCAAGACGCATCTGGCTGCACGTACAGTACACCTGGCCAGTGGGAGCCTCAGTGGGGTGAGGGGAGGGGGCTGTGCAGCAGCTGTAGGATGCACGGGGTGCACTGACGCGGTGAGACCTGCAGAGGGCCAGGTGTGGGCTCTACAGTCGCACGGGTGTGGATTCAGATCGCAGCCTCAGGCAAGTTCCTTCACCTCCTTAAGCCTTCTGTGCATACTGGGAGATCACAGAGCCTACTTTTCAGGCTTGTGTTTTGGAATGAGGCAAGTGAAGCACCCAGCCTAGTATCTGGCACATAGGAGGTCCTCCTGCTAGGAATGAGGCAAGTGAATCCCCCCTCCTCTGTGCCCCGCGCGCAAGTCCACGGCGAGAGTCCCTGCCAGAGGTCTTTGTCAGAGGGAGGGGTCAAATGTCTAAGTGGGTCCTTCTGCAACCCTATACTGACCTCAGGATAACGTCCAATAACTCGCCATGGGAGGCAGAGCCTCCTAACAACCACCACACCCCATCCTCTCCTCCTGTCATTACAAGATTATAGTGGACCAGGAGTGGGTTCCTTTCCCCAGGTGCCCCAGCTGTAAAGTGTGATCACAGGACTATGCTTCCTCTGGTGGGATGTGAGTAAGATGATGGCCCCCGCTGCCAGGGGCTGCTTAATAGAACAGCCATGTCTCTGCACACAGGCTCTGCTCGTCCATGATGGTCTTTTTTTCAAACCTATTGGTTTAGAAAAGAGGTCCAATTTGTTCTCAAAAGACTCAGATTCTCCTCTCCACTCTCTTGGCAGACACAGAAATCGTTCTCTCTCTTTAAAGAGTAATTTGACAATAGCAATAGGATTTTAAAATGAACACGCCACTACTAAGAATTATAATTTATCCTACAGATAAACTTATACAGGTGTGCAAAGGTGCTGTGCAAAAACTGTCACGTAGTGCTGTTTGTAACAGCAAAGTATAAGAAAAAATACAAGAAAGTGAAGTACAAAGTACAACAGGGGATACAAATGGTATCTCTATACAATGAAATACTATGCAGCTATTGATAAGAATAAGGCAACTATTCATGCACTGATACAGAGTAATGAGTGTGTGTCTGTGTATACATATACATAGATACAAATATATACACACATAGCTACACATATATACATATATACACAGGTATTTCCGCATCTGTTTAAATTATAATATAATCACATATAATCATAATTGGCAAAAATAAAGATATGTATATCTCACATGTATCCATCTATATCTATCTACGTATATCACACAGACATAGGTCTATAGATATATCTCACATTGGAATGGTTGCTTATGAGGAAGGAGGGGAAATGGGGTGTGAAACGGGGATAAATTAATGAATGGATGGTGCATGGGTAGGAGATGGATAGATAGACGAGCCTTACACAGACCGATGATGCTAATGACACATGCATATAATATATATATACATATATATACACACATACATGAATGATTCATATTTATTGCTCATGTGTAATAATAGTGAAATAAAATACACTAATTTACGATTCCTATATATGATTCATTGCCTATCATTTTGCAAGCATAGACTATGGTATTTCTAGAAAAATAATCAAGCTGTTAGTGATGGTTGCCTCTGGGAGTGGGAATGGAAGTCGGAAGACTTTGATTTTCCACTTTCCCCCTTCCTATACTATCCAAAGTCCTTCACATCGTCATCTATTACTTTTATAATTTTTATAGAAAAAATACAATTTCTGCCCTTGGGGAACTTCGAATCTGAACGGGGCAACAAGAAGGACAGGTGACCCTACTTAATCAAATTCTTTCCAGATCATGTGATTCAAACTTTTAAGTACAAGAGAAAGTCAGAGGGGAGAGAGGTCACTGACCTCATGAAGGGGAAAGGCCTCGTAGGTTTGCAAAGAGGGGCAGGGCCTCCAGGGAAGGTCCCTGACCTCCCTGAGCCTTCACCTGAGAAAGACCGCGGTCGGCCTGCCCTACCTGCCTGCAAGGTGCCTGAGGGTTGGAGGAGGTGCAAGGCCAAGCACTCAGTAGTAACATCGGCCACAGTGCCGCAAGTGCCAGCCTCCGTGCCAGACACAGACTGACTCCACGTGCAAACCTGCAAGCAGTTATCACTATGCCCATTTTACAAACAAGGAAACGGTTATCTAGAGTAGTTAAGAGTCTTGTCCCCGATTGGGAGGCCAGAATTGAAGCACAGTTGGAGGTGCACCTGGCTCCAAAGTTCGTGGACTCTGAATATTGATTCTTGAAGCTATTTGTCCTAAAACTTGGCTTTGATCAGGTCATGACCCCTTATCCCTCGAACTCACTCATTCATTCACCCACTGCCCCCCCATTTACAGCATGCCTACTCGGGCCAGCCCCTGTGCCAGGCATTGGGGCTACCGTGGTATATGAACCCCATACCCGCCCTGCACCCAGGAGCTCAGCATGGCCCCTTGTTGCCGCAGCACCATGTCCAAACCGCTTGGCCTGGCCTTGAAGGCTGGGCGCAGGCTGCCACTGACCCACCTTTTCCATTGCAGCTCCCACGCTTCCCTTTCTCAGATACTCTTCCCCCAAACAGACACCAAAACCAAAACGAGCTAGCCACCTACACTCCCATCATGGCCGTGACCAGACCAGCCCATTGCTACTTCGCGTGTTATGTTGTTGAAACAAACCAAAAAAAGGAGATGGGAGACATGATACTTACCATGCTCAGCTCCAAGCTGCAACTGTGTCTCTGGGGCCTCAGAGACAATTGCCACAACAAGCTATACCTTGGAGCAACAGCAGGTTACCAGGCATACTGTGGGCAAGGGTAACAGGACACCTGCTTCCTGTCCTCCCCGCTGACCGGGAGCTCACCTAGAACTCACTGTTTAACTATTTAAGCTTTGGCCTCAGCTATGTGCTCACAGTCCTCTCTCTAATAGTAAGGCTAAGAATGCTCCATCGGCTACTCTCTCAGCTTCTCCCACCTTTTTGAAAGTTCCTTCCAGCCTCTTCCTTGAACAGTTACTATCCTTTTACCCTTCCTTTAATATGGGGGGGAAGGAGGGGGAAGAGGGGGCGTAGGCAGTGCCCCCATGATATTCTGCTGTTCATTCATGACCCATCTCTCCCAGCACACTCTCCCTGATGACGAGCTCACACACATACCCACAGCTTCAGCGACCAAAGGCCTGCTTTAGGCTGAACCTCAGCCACTCCCAAATCTCTTTCTTGCTGGCCCATCTCTCTCTTGGGACCTTTAGATCCAGCCTTCCAATACTGAGTATACCAGAAATTGCAAATCCAGATTCTCCCAGGGCCAGGAACGTAGTATTAAATGCAGGAAATGTGCCAGGTATAAGAAAAACCACAGTACAAGCTTGATGATAAAGTGCAATTGATCCCCTACCTTAGTGTCCAAGATACAATTAGGCAGCAGTTCTCAAAGTGTGGTCCCTGACCAGCAGCGTCAGAGCATCAGCATCAGCAGGGAACTTGTTAAAAATGCAAGTCTCCAGATTTATTGATTCAGAACCAGTGCAGTAGGGAATGTTGGGGATTATGGCAAAGGGGGAGTGCATGCCCCATTTAGAAGGAGCAGCCACCTTGAGGCACCTGGGGGGCACAATTAGTTGAGTGACTGACTCTTGGTTTTGGCTCAGGCCATGATCTCATGGGTCCTGGAATGGAGCCCTGGGTCAGCTCCGCGCTCAGAGGGAGCCTGCTTGAGATTCTCTCCCTCTGCCCCTCCCCCCACCTTGTGCGCAGGCACTTGCTCTCCTCCTCTCTTTCTAAAATAAATAAATAAATCTTAAAAAACAAAAACAAAACAAAGAAAGGGGCAGCCACCTCTGGTCATCAGCCATATGGGAATGGATTTTCTGTGTTCCTCACTGGCTAATTCCAAATTCACTAAAAAGATATTCAAACACCTTTATGAACTGTTTTCAAACTACCTTTCTAGCTGCATCTCCCACTTACAATATTACTTGCTGTCCACAGGTTCATATCTCTGGGCTATTTATTTATGTGCACTGTTTTTAAGTGTTTCATAAAGAATAACTCATGTAATCCTCAGAACAATCCCTCAAGGAGGTACTAATATTATCCAAACCACAAAGAAGTAAAGAAGCTTGCCCCAGATGCAGGAGGCAAAATCCAAAACCACGCAGCCTGCTTACGGAGTCTGAGCTCTTAGCCACTATGCCATGCTGCCTACCAGTATAGATGGACCTCCACCACCTCCCCCTGCTCCTACTGCAGGTGAATGAGTGCCCGCTTCAAGGCCTTGCTCACACCTGACAGCCACCATAAATCGCTCCCAGGCCCACAGTCAAAATGCCCTGCCTCTCCCCTGGGCTCAGGGGAGCACAGAGTGTACACTCCTTTGAGCGCCTCGCCACACTCCGGTCTGTATCGGGGTGGCTATGCAACATTCATTTATTCATCCTATCAACAAATGACTCCTGAGCCCCTACCAAGTGCCACGCCCCACGACTGGCACTCAGAATTGATGGTGACCCAGGCAACAGTCCCTACCATCTTTAATAAAACTAGTTACCAGCTCTGCACACACAATTATAAGGCTTTCCATGCACTATCCCACTTAGCTCTCACTACAACCCAGTGTACAGGTGAAGAAACTTAGAGGTGACCCAAGAGGGCAGATGACTTCCCACAATCATACAACTAGTAGTAAATGATGGTGTCTGGCTCCAGACTTCTCCAGAAAGACAGAAAAATAGACAGATATGACCATACAGAGTGGTACGTGCCAGGGTAGCAGCTGGGACAGGGTGCAGTGGGTGTACCAAAGAGAGACCATACCAGGACATTCCTGTCTCCGTTCTCCTCCAAGTCCCCCAGCTATAAGTTCTGCAAGGGTTGAGACCATG